CTGAAGGTTGCCCAAAGTTTTATTTTTTTGTGGACATTCCACCCCATTCCATTTTTTTTTTATAAAGGGATTGTGCAACACCAGTGCTCAATTTCTTAGAGCACTCCTCCTCCCTTTCCTCTCTTTCAGTGATTTTTTTTTTTTTTTTTTTCTTCTGTCTCTCCTCCCCTTCTCCCTTTCCTTTTCCCCCCTGCCCCTTTCCCACTCCCCCTCTCCATCTCCTCCCTTTCCTTTCCCTCTCCACCTCCCCTTTTCCTCCCTTTCTCACTTCTCCTCCCCTTCTGCTTTTCCCTCCTCCCCCCTCCCCTTCCTTTCCCTTCCCTTCCCTTCCCTCCCCTCCTCTCTTGCCTTTCCCTCCCCTCTTCTCCCCTCCTCTCCTTCTACCTTTCCTCCCCTCCCCTTCTCCCTTTCCCTCTCCCTTCTCCCTTTCCTCCCTTTTCCCTTTCCCTTCCCTCTCCTTTCCCTATTGCTCTCCCTTCTCCATTTCCCTTTCCCTTTTCTTCTCCCTTTCCTTTTCCCCTTCCTTTCTCCCCTTCTCCCTTTCCCTTTTCCTCTCCCTTTCTCCCTTCTCCATTCCCTCCCTTCTCCCCCTCTCTTTCCCTCTCCCCGTTTTCCCCCTCTTTTCCTTTCCCCCTCTTTCCCTCTCCCCTTATCCCTCTCTTCCCCCTCCTTTTCCCTCTTTCCTTCTCCCCCTCTTTTCCCCCTCTCCCTTTCCCTCTCCCTTTTCCCTCTCCCTCTCCCTCTCCCTCTCCCCTCTTCCCCCTCCCTTTCCCTCTCCCCCTCCCTTTCCCCTCTCCCCCTCCCCTTCCCTCTCCCCCTCCCCTTCCCTCTCCCCCTCCCCTTCCCTCTCCCCCCTCCCCTTCCCTCTCCCCCTCCCCTTCCCTCTCCCCCTCCCCCTCCCTTTCCCTTTCCCTCTCCCCTTCCCCCTCCCCTTCCCTCTCCCTCCCTCTCCCTCTCCCTCTCCCTCTCTCTCTCTCTCTCTCTCTCTCTCTCTCTCTCTCTCTCTCTCTCTCTCTCTCTTCTCTCTCTCTCTCTCTCCCTCTCCCTCTCCCTCACTCCCTCACTCCCCCCCCCTCTCCCTCACTCCCCCCCCTCCCACCCAACCCCAAGTTGTTTCTTTTATGGTTGTAATTAAATTTTGCCCCCCCCCCCCCCTTCTGTTTCATTCTGAAGCATTTTTATTTGTTAGCACTGTTATATTCTTTACTAACTTACATTGAGCTTTTTACCTTTTTTTGCGCATTTTGGGGCTGCTTCTGTTTTTTCTTCTTTCTATTTTAATGTTTGACCCCCCTCCCCCCCCCCCCCATCTGTTTCATGCTTTCTTCCCCCCTAAACTCTTAAACTCTCTCCTTTTTCTCATTTACTAAAATTTCTTTCATTCTCTTTTTATATATTTATATAAAAAAAAAAAACAAAGATAAATGAAGTCAAAGCTTGTAATGTAACTCCCACACTTTTTATATTATGTATATGTTATTAAAGAGAAGTTAGTTTTAGAGTTAATATTCATGTGTTTTAAACGAGAAGGATCCCTAATGATCAACTTTTGTTTGTTTTCTTCATGCTGTTGCAGACTTCTGTGTAGTTACTATGACATTGATGTAATTATATAACCTTTCTTCAGATAACTGTGTTTTTATTACGATCATGTTACTATGGTCGTCATGATTATAAGTTCAATAGCAAGTGGTATTTCTGATCTGTAATAGTTGCATGCATGGCATTGCATGAATCGAGTTTCATTTATTTGTTTATTATTATTTTTTTTTTTTTTTTTTTTTCTCTGTAATTTATGTTCTTTTGTTTTTTTTTTCGTTATCATTATTATTATTATTATTATTATTATTATTATTATTATTATTTATTGGTTGAATTTCTAGCGTATAAACTTGCACATGTCATCGTTGCTTTTCAATTGATCGATCTGCAAGTTTTTAACAATTTTTTTTTTTTAAATTTTATTTATTTATTTTTTATTTTTAAAGAAATTTTGTATTCTTGAAACCGCTGAGTTTTTCTTCTTTCACCCGAGACTACGTCCTAGGTTCTAGGTGGCATTGGAGGTGTGGATATTTGCTATGTGTTGTGTAGAGAGCTGCAGCACCTGTTGGGAGTGTCTCGTTTATTGCATTGCTTCCTTGAGTTTTCACACACCAGTTTTTTCTTAAGAGAACGGATCCTTTGGTTTTTTGGTTTTCAACTGTATGTATATGTAAAAGTATATGAATGTGTGTATATATATATATGTATACATACGTATATGTATATATATGTATGTAGATGTATATATTTATATATGTGTGTATACATTGAATAATCATAGTTATGATAACCATTTAGGTAAATGTTTTTCTCAGGGAAGATTAACATGTGTAATACCTCTGTGACATAATCTTCCCTGCAAAGGTGATAAAGCGAGATCCAAGGCTATGTTACGTGTAAAATGGTAGCCGTGTATGTTTTTGTTTTAATTGATTATCAGTAATGGCATTATTCTGCAATTTATTGTGCTGTGCATGATTGTCAATTCCTCTGTTTTCTTTACGGCTGTGATACACTTTTTTCGAGTTTTTTTTTTAATCGGTGTGCCATCTATAGTTGCAGAGAGAGATCTTGTAATCTGCTAGTTTAAAAAGTGTTTTTATTGCATACCTTGTGTTTGGGTGAAACTTGAATGGATTTTTTCTTTTCTTTTTTTTTTTTTTTTTTTTTTTTTTTTGTTTTAATTTAGCAGGATATTAGAGAATATGTCATGGTTGCAGCTGCCAGGCCTTTGTTTTTATGATTATTATGTTTGTTATTATTATTATTATTGTTAATTATATTATTATTATTATTATTATTATTATTATTATATTTGTATTATAATTAATGTTAATATTGTTGTTTCATTTATGGTTTTTGTTGATTTGTTTCTTTTCTCTTTTATATCTGCTTATTGTATTTCCTCATTGTCCAAATCCTAGACATGTCCATGTGATTTTTTTTTTTCTTTTTCTTTATATTCCATATATCCCTTTTGACACATTTTATTTGGGTGTATTTCTTGATGGAATTCTTGCTCGTGGTTTTAATTTTTAACAGCTTTCACCTGACCCGTTTCGCTTGTGTGCACACTTAGGCAAAAGACCAGCTTGTGCCGTGTCGTTTAACCTTCTTCGTTGTTGCTGTTGAGCTTGACAATGACTGGTTCTCTTGCTGGGTTTGCACCTAGTGTTTTTTTTTTTTTTTTTTTTTTTTTTTTTTTTTTTTTTTTTTTTTTTTTTTTGGTGATGACGATGATGACCTTGCTAATGAGAGCTTACTTACCTTTGGGGGAATGTGTGTGTGTTTTTACCAACCCTCGCACTTCAAGTTTGTATGTGTGTATCAGGCATGTGGCTAGCATATTTTCTCTCTCTCTCTCTCTCTCTCTCTCTCTCTCTCTCTCTCTCTCTCTCTCTCTCTCTCTCTCTCTCTCTCTCTCTCTCTCTCTCTTTCTCTCTCCCTCCCTCCCTCCCTCCCTCTCTCTCCCCTCTCCCCCTCCCTCTCCCCTCTCCCCTCTCTCCCTCCCCCCTACTCCTCCCTCTCCCTCCCCCTCCCCCCACTCCTCCCTCTCCCTCCCCCTCCCCCTCCCTCCCTCCCTCTCTCCCCACCCCCTCCCTCTCCCCCTCTCCCTCCCTCCCTCTTTTTCGTTTTCTTTCTCTTTCTCACTCTTTCACTCTTTTGCTCTTACCCCCCCCCCCCCCCCCTGTCTCTCTTGCCCTCTCATATTCTTTCATTTATATATACATTATATATATATATATATATAATTATATATATATAATAATATATATATTATATATATATAATTATATATATATTTATATATATATATATTTATATATATATATATTTGGCCACCACCTGTTACACCATATCTGGGAACCCCTCAGGCATTATGAACCTTCTCAGTTAATGCTGTCAGAGAAGATCTGCAATACAATACAGGGATTAGAAAACAAATGAGGACTAAATGCTTGGCCTCTCTTGGTCAGCAGTTGAATTTATCATCGTAAATGAATAATGATAAGAGGGGAAAGGTTCATAAGGTGTAAATTTCGTGTCTAGCCCAATTGCGCGCTTCAACTGCTAGATTGCACTTTTGGATGTGGTAGTTACACGGTGGCAATTGGTTCTCGCTGATGTGGTCACCCCTTTGGTAGCGCTTAACACTGCACTCTGTATCGCATATTTATCACTTTATTTGAGGCATGATCTCTTATACTCTTTATAATGGTTTTCTTTTTTTTTTCTTCTTTTTTTTTCTTTTTATCATTCTTTCTCTCACACTTTTCCTTTGATTGAATGTTTCTAGGCAAGTTCCTACAGTTAGTTGTATTTTCTGAGATTGCTTCATGTCATATGTTACCAAGAATGAGTTGTTTTAGAGGTTTAATGGTTTTTAGTCACATTGAACACGCGAGTTAATGGAGTCAACCTTGAGATTCATGTGTTTGTTCCAAGCATTTCTGCCAGAATTGTTCAGATGCCAGTGTTCTTCAGTTGTAATGTTTTATTTATTTTAAGGATGTCATCATGTACGTTATCTATAGTTAATGGAGGCTTTTCATGCATTTCTTCCCACACTTTTAAGATTTTTTAGTCTAAGTAGCTGTTTTAGAGTGATATTTATATATGATTATATATTAAGCACATGTTTTAATTTATATTTCTCTTTTATTTGTATTTTCTGTTGTTTTTAGTTGATGAAAAAAAAAAACACATTGTGATGAGAAAGAGAGCCATCCATCACAGGTTTCCTTATTTATCCTCATTCTTTCACTCATTCTTTCCTCCTCATCTCTCCCTCCCTCTTTCACTCAAGACAATCCCCTTTTGCCTCGCATCTCATTCAGTCTCTCTCTCTCTCCCTCTCCCTCTCCTTTTTTCTGTCCATCTGTCTCTCTCTCTCTCTCTCTCTCTCTTTCTCTCCCTCAACTGTAGCATCCTAACAGACTTAACCTCCGTACCAGCAGGGTGGTAAGATAGCCCCGGACCGAACCGCCAACCGCTACAACCCGATCGGCAGCGGCGGCGGCTATGGCGGTGGGTACGGAGGTGGGTATGGCAGTGGCGGGAGTTCTTTGGGCTACTCCAATGATGCGGCTGGCCAATCCTCGTTCTACAGTTTCTCCACGCCTTCCTTCAGTGGGGGAAATTACACATCGTTCTCCGGCATGAGTAATAACTCTGGTGGCGGGGGCTATAGTAGGTACTGAAGCCCAGCCCCGTGTTAAACAACAACAACAACAACAACAACAGCAACAACAACAACAACTAAACGTGTTTCTATGAGTGACAAGGAAAAGCAACAAAAAAAAAAAACACAAAAAAAAAAAGAATGGCTTTCACGCGGGGAGCTCTTTCAATGAATAACAAACAAACAAAAAAAAAAAGGCAAAAAAAATACAAAAAAATAAGTAAGGATTAAGTAACACGATGAAAGATTAAAACAAAACAAATAAGGAATTACACAAAGCAATTTCATGTTTTTTGTAGATGGAAATACCAAACTAAACGAGGAAAAATACACAGAGCTATCAACCTATAACCATGGTTTTTAGAGAAAGTTTTTATCATCTTATTTTTGTTGTAAGAGTGTATTATGTATTCTATCAAGTCATTGTTGGTCATTTTTCCCACGCAAGAAGTGGCATCGTGCATAAACCTTCTTAAGATGTTGCATCGATGGCTACAAAAACTAGTTTAAAACTAAACAAAAAAAAAAAAAAGTTAAGATGATATTGTTTATACCATGAAATATTCAGGCTTTATTGTCATTTCCAGAAAAAAATGTGCTATGCATTTTAAATGCTTAGATCTCTGGTGTAGTTGTCTTCAGAAATTATTTTCCTTTTCTGTTTATTGCACTTTAAAAAATTTTGAGCTCTGTTTGTATTTTAGTAGAAACTGGAAGTCCATTATTATAATAAATAATTTTTTTAAAGAATATGATTTTCCAAAATCCTAAAATGAGTTATATTTTTTTCTTTGAAGTAAAAGCAATGCTGAATGTCACTCAATTGAGAGAATTTTTTGCTTTTGATTTTTCTAGTTTCATTTTCTTGTTTTATGTTTCTGTGTGACTAGTGACAGGAATTGATGCCACAGCCAGGACTCTGCCTTTTGCACCGAAGGGCAGGCGGTTTTTTTCGTTTTGTTTTTATCTTTTCCGATGACTTCGTTTGATTTTTTTGTGAATATATTAACCAACGAAAATGTCGGACGAGTGTTCTTCATTAAGTATTTTATTCTACTGTGGATTTCCCTGCGGCAGACACACACGCCCCTGTTGTTGTCACCGCAGTAGCTAGATGATGTCATTCATGATGGTTATTATGCTGTAGTATTATTCATATAACCTATAATTACATAATTGATGGTTTCATGTATCTTTTTCCATATATTGTGTTCTTTGATGCTTGAGAAATAAAAAAATAAAAAAAAAATTGATTTTTTTGGTACAATAAGGTGTTCTCTAAGTTTTTTCATTAAAAGTGTTGGACTGATTATTTTCTTCATAATGTTATATTGGTCGGTAGCAACCATACCTGAACATATTGTAAGATTTTTTTTGTTCTCGATGAAAAAAAAACTCAACAAATGTTTTGTACAGTGCAACATTATTTTTGCTCACACTGTAATAAGTTACTTGACAGATATATTTAATAAAGTGAAACTATCAACTTTTGTATTTTTTATTTCCCTTTGCACATCAGTTATTCTTGTTTTTTGTCTACTGCTTTTAATTTTTTTTTTATTGGATTTTTTTTTTCTGTCATGTGCGTTTTTATTGCTTTTTTGAGCCGAGTGATTTTTTTCTTCATAATTAGAAGTTTTGAAAACCAGTTGCATTGGGTAGTTATAATTATAGATTTAATTGTATTTAACATTATTATTATTATCATTATTATTGTAATTGGTTATAATTGTTAACAAGGAAGAAGTTCAGGTGGTTTGCTTACAATGTTTCTACCTGTGCAAGCTGCAGTGGAGGAGATATTACTGGTCAGCTTGTAGTAGCAGGAACAAGTGCTAGTTGTACAATCATCTTTTATCCATTTTTTATTGATTTTTTTTTTCAACCCTTCATTTCCAAAGAAGTCCAAGATATTTGTACGCTTTTCTCAGAGATGATTTCTTGGACAAGGTCCTGTAGTTTTTAAAGCATTTTGCTCTTTTATATTGACAATACATGACCCATCAAGAAACCTTCTAGCAAGTTGTATTCCAATCTTTGTATTAAACCCAATTTTAGAAATCAGTTTGACTGGAAACTTTTTCATTCTAACCTTCTATACTCCTCTCTGATCCACAAAACGGTAACCTGAATCGGAACTAGAAAGGGACAAGAAATTTGTTCGTGGATCTGAACAAGGCCGTGGGTATTGGAATGTGCACGTGACAGAACAGTAGTCCGTGATGCGAAAATGACAGATAATCTAATAATATGCCACGGAAGTATCTTGCTAACTTATAAAACTCAGGTTTATAATGAAGCCACAAGGATGCACTCTCTGTGGGGTTTTGTTTGATAATAAAGTCTGTCTTTACAACATACATCAAGATGGACACATGAAACAAGAGCATCCCGTGTCGAGAAATGTCAGATATAATAAATAAAACTAGATTTCTCTGAAATGTGAAGGTTTAAAAAAAAAAAGACATTGATCTGTTTTTATATTTACATGAAACCAATTTTAAATCCCGACTCGATCGAATGCCCAATCTAACATGAAAGACTAAACAATGAAAACATTTTAGACAACTTTTGAATGAATAAATAAAAAAGATGTGGGACGCTTGACGTCGCATTAAAGCCAACATACTGGACCTGGTTTCTCTCAGTGCTAAGGAGACGGAGACGCCCAAAGCCAGCCCTCGCCTCCACTATCTTTGCATGCCTTTTTTCTTCTCCCCCTTTCCTTTTCCTTTTCTTCATCCCTTCTGTCCACTGCCTAAGGTGTGAGGCCCGTGCTGAAAGGATGAAAGGCTGGCTTTGTGTCGGTCCTGAACGGCCTCTGGGAGCCTTGGGTACGGTTAATGGTCAATCGTCTGGCTCTTACCCTCATGGGGACCCTGAGTGGTAGACCGTTGCCTCTCCCCACGTATTTCAGGCTGACCGTGGCCATTGATGAAGATTTTTTATACTTATTAGGGGCATTGAGCGTTGTCCCTTCATCAACTAGCCTATCTAAATTTGATTTTTCTTGTTTTCCCGACCCCTGCCTCTCCCTTGACCACGGCTCCGACCACTGAAGTTTACTGGCAACTCTATCCGTTCCCAAACATCCACCTAGGTCATTACTCAACCTTCAGAATACATCCCTTCCTCTCTCCTAACATCCTCCAATCCCTCTCCTACTGCAGCCTTCTTCATTGTCTAACCCCTCTTCCCTTATTACTCTTCATTCTTATTGTCCTCAACATATTACTACCTTTACTCCACGCCACCTCATCTTCCTTCCTTCCTCCTTGTCCTTCTATTGCTTTCACCTCTGGAGTTCTTTTGGCTCAGCCTAGTGGGATCGATTCTTTGTAATAACCTCTACAGCCCTTATGCTGACAATACCCTTCTTTTCCAACGATGTCTTTTAAAAACAAGTTGGCAAAGTTTCCTTTTTGCAGTAGTTCCGATCGTCCATGCCTTGCCATAGTTACGTTTGAGTCCTAAGCTCGTGCAGTCTACCCAGACTGGCTTCACTGACAAACCAATTTATGCCCAACCTCAGTCCTCCCTTAATACTAGTATAGGGAATTGTCACCCCGACTGATAGTACTGTCTACAAGGACTGGTCAGACTGAAAACGACATGCTCGCCTGCCTTGTTGAGTATGATGCAGTGGCGGTACAATGCTACACTATTCCTCCCAGAGGCCAATATAAGTCTTGCACCAATATTTCCAAGATCAGTTTCCATAGACATGACCCCCATGAAGTTTATATTAGTGGAGTTGCTGTCCTGTCTAACCATATCGACCTCTCCCCCGTCAAGTGCCAGAAATGTAGGCGTTTTGGCCATCCAGTCAGTCACTTGATCCACAGCCCACTGTCCTATATGTGCCCAACCTGACCATGGCCATTCAAATTGATCTGCTGTCATGCGTGTGTGCCCATTGTGGTGGCTCCCATAATGTTCGAATCTTCAGGTAGCAATTCTCAGATTCAAACTAGGCCGACGAGTTTTTTTTTTCCTTCACTCTGCCTATTCCAAAACTCCCTCGCTCCACTCTCCCATCTTCTGAATATGTCCCAGTCAAATTCCTTTTCCAGTCTAAATCCAGATACTCCAGTCTCTACCACTTCCCCGGTGCCTACCCCTCCTCCTCCTCACTCTACTAGTCTCGCCAGGCAATCTAAACACTCCACACCATCTACCACAACCTCTCCTACACTCGTCTCTCCCTCTGCTCCTCGGACATCTATTCCCTCTTCTCCTCCACATAAGAAAACCATTGTTTCTCAGACTCCCCCTCCCACACCCAACTCCCCTCCAGAAACTCTTGAAGACATCCAAAACTTCCCAGACATGACCCTAGAGAATGCTCTTCTCCCTCATTCACCCACCAATCCCTCTATTCTTATTTGCTCTACGTTCAGAGTATTTGCCGATATCCATGCTCCTCCTCCTCCTCAAGTTCCCCTCACCCCTCTTCTTCTTCTTCTTCTTCTTCTTCTTCTTCTTCTTCTTCTTCTTCTTCTTCTTCTTCTTCTTCTTCTTCTTCTTCTTCTTCTTCTTCCCCCCCCCTCTCCCCCAGAACACCCCATCCTCTCCTTCTCCACGTGCACCACCATTCCCTTCTCTTTCTCCATTATCCTTACCTCTCCCACCTGGATGCTCGCGTCCTTCTCCAGATCCTCCCGGCCATGACATTCTTCCCGATACTTAAGCTCCTTCCCCTGTTCCCTTATCTCATTCCCCGGATTCTTTTGCTCCTATTTCTCCAACACCAATCCATACCTGTATTACCTGTTGACTGTTCAATAATGGTTCCTTTGTCAGTTTTCTTTATACTATGTTCCTCTTCCTTCCCCAGACACAGTACTCTCCACTTTATTCAGTCACCCTGCACCTTTAATGCTTTTCCCTTTTATTAATCTCAGCCTAATTTCATCTGCTCCACCTTCTTTGCTCTTTTCACTACCATACTATCCAATAACACTAACTTTTGACATCTAATACATTTTAACCCAAGCGTTAATTTATTTTTACCCATTTTACCAAAATACTTTACTATGGTGCTATATTACCTTTGATGCCTAGCACATTTATTTGTTTTAACCATTTTCCTTCTCTTCTTCGCCCCCTTCAGTCCAATTATCCTAATCGTTAATTCATTTTTACCCTTTTCGCCACCATACTTAATCATAATGTTATTTGACCTTTGATGTCTGCTACATTTATTAGTTTTAACCATTATGGTAATCCACAAACTTCGCCTTATGAACCAAAAATCTTCCTTACCTGGGGCTTCGCTTCCAAGCATCACCTTATCGCTATAATTTGAATACACCGCTGATGACCTTAGATGTAGATTAAGTAGAAGTTTTTTTTTCTATAAATTAATAAATAATTGGAGAGGAAGATACATTTGGCAGATTGGTGAATGATTGATTGGTAAATGATAGACTCAGGATAATCGTGTGAAACAAAATTATTACTCGGTCACATTTCAATGCAGCCAATCATCATTAACGTCTCGAGTGCATCGCCGCCTCTGATAAAGAGAGAAAGAAATAGAAGTAGAGGAGGTGGAAGACGAAGACCACTAGGCACTGCAGGTCTTGTTCTGTGTGGGTCACTCTGGCTGCATCGTCTGCTTTCTGATGGCGGTCTTCTTGATTTTGGCAGCGCCCTCAGTCGAGAAGCACTGTAGAGACATCCATCATAACCTTGCACCGAAGATAGATTTCCTTCTGTCATTGATCCAAAGGCCTGATTTAGCACACCTGAGAAAAATATACGGAAAAGAGTTAGAGCTAGAAACCATCCTTGCATAACGCCACTCTGAATTTTGAAGGGTTTTGAATGTTCATCATCAGACTGCACAATACCTCCATTCCCGTGTGGAAAGATTCAGTCACACTGAGTAAGACAGGAGGGCAACCAGTCTTAGCAAGGATCTTGAACAAATGCCTCAGTCAGGTCTATATAAGCTATACACACTGTGGGTGTCTTTGGTCTCTATACTGTTCTTAGGGTTCACGATGTGGCAAGATCATATCAACTGTTGATCTCTCTGGCTTGAATCCACATTGAGGTTCTGGGTAAACTCTTTTTGGTGAGTGTGTATACACACACACACACACACACACACACACACACACACACACACACACACACACACACACACACACACACACACACACACACACACACACACACACGGCAGTGACAGCGACGATAACGACAACGACAACGATAATGATAATAATAATGACAATGATAATAATAATAATGACAATGATAATAATGATATTGGCAATTATTATATTGATAACTTTTCTATAACGGCTCCTTGAAAATCAAAGAAAGATTAAGAGCCTACATGGATTCCAACACATTTCTTGCACATCATCATGCATATATTCTTATTGAAGAATATATCATAGGAATAATATTTAGAAGTTATTTCCGAAAGAAAATGCAAACAGAATCGAGAAATATGAAGAACGATTTTTCCAT